GAAATCCTATGAGGCAGAACTGACTCTATGGCACACAGCAGTAGTAGAAGCAATAATTGGTGGAGGTGTTTCCTAGGAACATTCAGCAGTATCTTACAAGATATCTGCCTTAGGCACCATCCCTGTAATCACAGTTGGGTTAATCCCATCAAGTTGAGACAAAGCTGATAATGGTTTTACTTATAATGGATCAGCAGACAAAAATGGAGTAATCTCTGCAGATGGGAAGGTTGTGCTGTTGGTAAAAGTGCTTCAACAGAAATTAGGGATCCAACGTCCTCAGCTTCCTGATTATCTACCCATATATCCCTATCCTAAGTTTCAGGATGCCCTTACTTCCCAGTCAGTGCCCTCACTTTCACATCAGACACTTCTATATTAGGAATTCAGTTTGCATTGTAATTCTGCCACTTTTACCTTAAGAGTGGTTTTGGCAATATCAGCTCTGTTATCACAAGACATAAGACTTTTTTTCAGGGCAGAAGTAGAAACTTTGTGTTGCTTGAGTTGTAACTCCAAAATCCTGAGCTTGTCTCCTTGCTTTACCACTTGGACTATTTTCAGGTTGTTGTTAAATGCCACTGATTCGATACAGGCTCATAGTGCCCCTATGTACAAAGAACAAAACACTGCCCCATCCTGGGCCAATCTCACAATCATTGCTAAACCTGAGCCTGTTGCTGCTGAAACTGTGCTAATCCATCTCATTGAGTTCTTCCTCTTTTTCTCTGACCCTCCACTTTACTAAGCATGATATCCTTCTTCAGGGACTGATCCCTCATAATAATATGTCTGAATTAGGAGAGGTGAAGTCTGGCCATCCTGGCTTCTAAGGAGCACTCTGTCTGTACTTCTTCCAACATAGATTGGTTTGCTCTTTTTGCAGTCTGTGGTACTTTTAGTATTCTCCACCAACACCATAACTCAAATACATAATTTCTTCTGCTGTCTTCTCTATTCACTGTCCAACTTTCACATGCATATAAGGTTATTGAAAATACCATGGCTTGGATCAGGCACACCTTAGTTCTCAAATTGACATCTTTTCTCTTGAACTCTTTGAAGAGGTCTTGTGCAGCAGATTTGCCCAATGCAATACATCGTTTGATTCTTGACTGCTGCTTCCATGAGTGCTGATGGTTGATCTGAGCAAATGAAGTCTTTGACAACTTCAGTCTTTCCCCCATTTATATGGATGTTGTTTATTGGTCCAGTGGTAAGGATTTTTGTTTTTGTTTTTTTACATTGACATACAACCCATACTGAATGCTGTGGTCTCTCTTAAAATACTTCATCAGTTAAGTATTTTAAGTCCTGTTCACTTTCAGCAAGCAAGGTTGTATCATTTGCATATTGAAGATTGTTGGTGAGTCTTCCTGCAATCCTGATGCTATGTTTTTCTTCATATAATCCAGCTTCTCAGATTATTTGCTCAGCAAACAGACTAAATAAGTATAGTGAAAGAATACAACCCTGGCACACACTTTTCCTAATTTTAAACCATTCAGTGTTCCCTTGTTCTGTTCACACAACTGCCCTTTGGTCTATGTACAGGTTTCTTATGAGCACAATTAAGTGTTCTGGAATACTTATTCTCTGCAATGTTGTCCATAGCTTGTCATGATCCACACAATCGAAAGCTTTTGCATAGTCAATAAAGCACAGGTAGACATCTTTCTGGTATTCTCTGCTTTCAGCCAAGATCCATCTGACGTCAGCCATGATATCCCATGTTCCACGTCCTCTCCTGAATCCAGCTTGAACTTCTGGAAGTTCTCTGTCTGTGTATGGTTGCAGCCATTTTTGTATTATCTTTAATAAAACGTTACTCCCATGGGATTTCAATGATATTGTCCATGCTTATGTGTTCCACTTAATTTCAGACAATTTCCACTTTTACTAGATTCATACTTTGTATATTCCATGTTCTAATTATTAATTCATGTTTATAGCTGCTTCTCTTCAAATGAAGGTCCTGAAGGCTTTACTCCATTCTCGTCATGATGGTCAACCTTACTTTGAGGAGGCAGCTCTTCCCCTGTTGTATTTCGAGAGCCTTCCAACATGAGGGACTCATCTTCTGGCACTATATCTCACAATATTCTGGTTCTCTTCATCATGTTTCAATATTCAATTTTCTGGTGCTGATACCGTTCTACTGCTATTCATAAGGTTTTCAATGTCTAAACGTTCAGAAGTAGTCCTCTCTCCTTCTTTCTATTCTGTCTTCATCTGGAACCTCAGCTGAAACCTATCCACCATGGATGATCCTACTGGTTATTTAAAATATCAGTGGCATAGCTTCCAGAATCATAGCAATGTCTAAGCCACCACACTATGACAAATTGACAGATGAGTGGTGGTTATTGTCAGTAGTGCCAACAATCAGCTTCTCTGTACTTCTATACTCCTCATCCTGACAAAATTGTAGAAAAGTATCAAACATACAATCACTCAGAGTCTGACTTGTCACTAATACTTGATCTATGCTGTTATTGTTAAGTACTTTTGAGTTGGTTCCAACCCATAGCAACCCTGTATAGGGTTTTCAAGGAGCAGCTGATGAGTTTGAACTACCAACCTCGTGGTTCTAACTGACCTTGTGGCCCAGTGCTTATTTGATCTATAGTAGGTGATATTTTACATATTATTTGATCTATAGTAGGTGATATTTTACATATTAACATTGCCATCTTATACTATGGATTACGGCACCCTCTTTACTAATACAAGTATAGTTATCAGTGTCATTAAGAGAACCAATTTAGAAAAGTCATTTTATGATTCCGTTTCTCTGAAACCACTTCCTGTACTAAATGTCTTAGTCTTGGTTCTCTAAAGAAGAAAGATTAGTGAAGCTCACATATATCTCTGTGTATGAAAAAAGGTTTATATCAAGAAAATGGCTCACACAGTCATGTTGTTGTTAAGTACTGTCGAGTTGGTTCCAACTCATAGTGACTCTTATAGGGTTTCCAAGGAGTGGCTGGTGAGTTTGAACTGCTCACCTTTAAATTCAAACTGACCTTGAGATCGATTGCTTATACTATGGTGCCATGCCAAGACTTATCACACAGTCATAGAGGTGGATAAGTACCAAGTGTGCGGATTAGATTTCAGGCTAGAGGCTTCTGACTCATGTAGCTTCAGGGTTGATAAACCAAGATTGAGGGGTCAGATGGCAGATAGGTAAGCAGGTCTGGCACATAAGAAAGCAATGTGTTGACAACTCCCAGGATTCGCAGATAATAGAACAGACTACTAGCTCAAGTCCAAAGAACTGGAGGTTGGAGGAGGAGCCAGATGCAAGAACCAGACCCAACAGAGAGTAAGGAAGTTTTCTTGAGTGTCTAATATATTGGAAGTCAGCTACACCCGTGAAGAAACATCCTTTCAATTGATTGCTCATAGCAGACCTCATTATAGAGTTAATTGCGTTATATTAGATCTCATTGTGGGGATAACTACATCTCACCTATCACACCACTGAGGATCCTGGCCCAGTCAAGTTGGCAAAAAAACTTAACTATTATAGTGGGGAACAAACATGAAGGAAAAGTAGTTAGAAAATATGCTACTGGTGATAAACCAACCAACCAAACAAACAAACAAAAAACACTGAAAATCACAGGATGTGTTGTTGTTGTCAAGTACCTTTTAGTCAGTTCCAACTTACAGCAACCCTGTACAGGGATTCTGAGGAGCGGTTGGTGGGATTGAACTACCAACCTTGCAGTCCAAACCAACCTTGCAGTCCAGTGCATTAACTTGTGGCACCATAAAGGCCTATTCATTGGAATGCCATATTTTCAGCAACATAAATGCCAACTAGGCATGTGGACCTTACTAAATGAATACAGAGGATCACCGAATGTATGTTGAATGTGATGATAGAGAAACTCAATATTAATTAGTCAGAACAAAGTCAGGGACTGATTGTCGAACAAGTCTACAAGAGTCAAAGTACAATCTGATTATTTCCTTAATTTAGAAACCATTTCAAAAATAGATTTGATACATTTAACATGACTGAAAACCTGTATGCTGTGCATGTTTGTCTGTATGCCCTGCTATTTTTGTCTGGGCCTCTCCCTGTCTCTTTGTTTCTTTGCTAACTAACTCCTTTGTCCTGTCCACACCCACCTCTACTGAGGCCTCCTTCCTCTTCTGTAACTATAGAAGTCAATACAACATAAATACAGGAAGTATTAACAATGCAAGGAAGTATATAGAACCACAAATATCAGTACTTTAATGATCCTTGGAGCGTATGTAGTCTCATTGATCACCTACACCCCCACCCCCACCCCCCACCCCCGTTCTAGCCTTTGCATAGATGAGGAGAACTAAGGCCCAGGAAGGGGGCAGGATATAGTCAAAGTTGTACCTGAGCCAATGATAGTACTAGGTACCCAGTGTTCTTTATCCTGTGTAAATTGCCTCTGCAAAGACAAGTGTTGTGGATAATCCAGACTGTGCATTAGAGGGAATGCTGCTGTGGGCTGAACATGGGTGGTGAAGGAGAAGTCTTCCTAGAAGTACATTTAACACTTGTTTTCTCTTGGAAGTAGGATGATTTTCATTCATTTGTTTGCCCCTTGTTAAACATTGCTCTATGGTTGTTTTAAGGAGCACTGGTAGCATAGTGCGTCTCTCATTGAGCTGCTAACCAAAAGATCAGCAGCTAGAATCTACCAGATGCTCCGTGGGAGAAAGATGAGGCTTTCTACTCCCTTAAAGATTTACAGCCTATGAAACACTATACAGGGTCACTATGAGTCGGAACCGACTAGATGGCATACAACAAATTTTATGTTTTTAATAAAATGGTATTTTATGTTGTTGTCTGTTTCTATATTCCTCTTTCTTTTCCAAATATTTACCAAAATTTATCAAGGTCTTAACATTCTAGTTCCCTTTTCTGTAGTTGAACAGAGCTGTTTGTGCTCTGCTAAGCACAGAGCAAGATAACTAACTCATTTCCTTTGATCTCACCCTAGATCAATGTGCGTGTGACCACCATGGATGCAGAACTGGAGTTTGCCATCCAGCCCAACACCACCGGCAAGCAACTGTTTGACCAGGTAAGGGAGAGACTTCTGCTCCTTAACCTCCTCCCCTTCTCCCATTAGCTCCCACCACATTGCCAACTTGCTTTCTGCCTCTTGCTGGGGCATCTCTTCTTCTGCTCACTTCTCCAAGATGAGTTGAAACAAAGCTGACACCAGCCTTAATCGGAATGGAGGAAAAGTTCAACTTTGGCAACTTTTACCTTGGATGGCCCCAAGTAATTCTATCTTTTTTTTTTTTTAATTAAATGTTTTTATTTTGCATTGAGTGAAAGTTTACAGAGCACATCATCAGCTTCATAGTCAACCATTCATATAGCTTGTTTCATTACATTGATTATTATCCCCTCCATATATCATCGGTTTACAGTGTTTCTCTCTATGCTCTTTAGCTTTTTTTTTTTTTTGGATGGGGGGGGACTTGCCTTTTTGGAATTTACAGTCTCGGCTTTTAGGGAAG